AAGCTCTCAAAGAATGCTCTCCGCAGGAGCATTGGCTTCTTCACATGAAGAAGGAAATTTTTTTTAGCAATGTTATATATTAATATATAAATATTTTTTTTAATTTGTATCACCATTAAAGGTCACGTGATATAAAATTTTATTGCATTTTTGAGCATAACTTACAAATTCTGAGTTTTGGTGATTTTCCCAAAATTGGCCACGAGGCGCAGCAAGTTGCGGGACTAGGTGACTTGCACCATATAACCTTTTTTTTTCCGAATTTCAGCATCATCACATTTTAGTTTAGGCAAACTTCTATAATTGGTATAGCATAATTAATTACTTGGTCTAACAAATGTTTAGCTGTCCACCACCCCGCTTCATTTTTTCCAGGTTTTAAGAACTTTCTAGCTTCTTTTGGAATATTTGGATTTGCCAGTTCTTGTTCTGGAGTTAGCTTTAAACATCCAATTGTTTCCAATAAGAATTCACTCACCATTATGGACTTACCTTGCCCTTTTTTTCAAAGAGGTGGTTCCCCTAAAGGTGCCCACACTGTTGGGTGATCATCATTTGAGTAAAATAGTGATTCATCATGAGTGATAAAAATATATAATTTTTGTCCATTGGGAAGTTTTGGGTTAATTTGTATCATCTCATCTCCAACAAATTTAGGCATATATTGTTCAAACTCTTTCATTCTCTCTAAAAAAATCTTACAATAAGCAACTACATCTTCTCTTTCATGACCATCATAGTAGATTCCTTTTTTCTTAGATTGTGGCACTAAACCAAGTTTCCTAAGCCAAACACAAGAAGTGTTGTCTGAGATTGATTTTTTATTTCCTAAAATTTCCATTTCTGCCAATAGTTTAGAGTTAACAAAATTTTTATATTCTAGAGGCATTGTCTTCCCTCCATTTTGTCTGATAAATTCAAGGCTACCATCAATAACATCTTCATCATCAATTAATGATTTTGATTTTGGTAACAACCTTGCATGGTTTTAGGTAATGCTCCATTTTTAAGCCAATACATTGCCCATTTACAAATACATGTTCCTTTATATGAACCTTTATTATCTTTATTATAAACTTCTTTTGCTGCATTGTTACTTGCTTCCATTTTACCTAAATCTTTATTTAAGTTAACAAAATATTTATAAGTGGCTAAATATTGAAAATATTCACTTGCAGGCAATTTTTTATTTTTTAAAATTTTCAAGTTTATCCAGATTGGTTTTATTTATAAGACCTATATTTTCTTCTCCAGAAGAACTACCAAAATTGTCTAAATCACTATGATTAATATTACATCAATGTCCAGAATACCATCATTAATTTCATTTGCAATATTATTATCTTTTTCAAGATCACCTATCTCTTTATTATTTATATCATCACTGAATTCATCTGATTCATTCATATCTTTTTTATTGTTGCTTATTTCATCTATATTTATTAACTTATCTTTATTTTCACTTTTTTTAAAAAATTTTTCAATTTTTTTGTATTTTTAGCAGCTTTAGTAAATTCACCAGATGGACCATATTTTCTGTATTTGGTGGTTTGTGGTATTCCAATTTTATTTTCAGGATTATTTCTTTTTCCTTGTTTTATAGCTACTTCAGCACCAATGCGAATAATATCAACATCAGAATCTGAAGAATAAATTTCATCTGATAAAATAAAATCTGAGTTAGAAGAATCTGATGCTTTATTTTTTTTTTTCAAATTGGTCTGTAGACAAATTTTTAGATCGATTTTTGAATTTTTTCTTTGAGCAATTTGACTTTTTGTTAATGGCATATTTAATTATTACAATATCAGAATTTTTTGAAATAAAAAATGGATGAAAATGAATTGAAAAACGCGACGTTACACTGATTTACTTGGTCCCATTTTTGGATCTTTATATATAATTTGGTGCTACTTTGAACTTGCATAACTTGGTCGGTATTGAAGTTAAAAGAAATCTAGCCACTAATTTTGAAAGTTCTAATGTTGCTTAATAAAATCAGTGGTTAGAATTTTTTTAAAAATTATTTTTACCAGGTTTAGTAATGTCAATTTTTATTTTGAGTATAGTAATAGACGATCAGCACTGTATAACGAAATTTAATGGTTGATCTAACTAAATTTAGAAATAAAGCAAATTAGCCAATAAACACGATCAACGTCCACTTAAACGAAATTTACTTCTATTATTAATATAAAAATTTTTTCAATGTTCACTCTATAATAAAGAGATTTTATTATGACTATGATATTCACTGTAACGAGCTTTGACTGTAAAACGACTGGTAATAGTAATAGTAATAATATAAACAATAAATTCGTTATAACGGATTTAAACGTTATACGAGTTCGAATCTCTAATTTCAAATCACTCTTATCATTTAATATGTTGTTGATCTGCAATTGATTTATTTTATGTGCTGCGTTCATATTCGCCCAAGAGAACTCTTTCTCTGAATTGCAAACAAAACGGATCCCTTCGGCCTTTTTTGTTTTATTTTGGTGAAATTCATTGGTAGATCGTGTAACAAACAAAAAATTATAAATTCGTGGATTTTTTCTAGATTTCTCAAAAAACAACAACATGTCATCATCCTCTACACCCAAAAACGAAAAGCCAATTATTAAACTTAAAAGCGTTAACATACCAAAGTAATTTCAAATTTTATTATTTGGACTTTTTATTGGTCAAAAAAAAACTCACAATTACAATTATTATTATTATTTAGAAATGTTGTTTTTAAATTCTACCTACACACCATTCTATTGTTAATATTTCCAATTTCCACTTATTATTTAACTTTGAATTTTTTATTTGGTAATTAAAAAAAATCAAATAAATTTGTTTTTTTTTAAATTGAAAAAATATTCACTGACAACGTGATATTTTCTTTCAAACATCAATTAATCTTTTTTTTGTTTTTAATTGATAAATAAAGGAAATGATACAACTAAAGCAGCACTTTCGGCTGCAGGTATTGCAAATCTTATAGTATTCTCATATATCTTAGTTGCAATATTTGAAAAAGATCCTGGTGCAGAACAGCAACAACAAAAACAAAAAGATGAATGATTGATAAAAAAACTTTTTTTTTTTTAAATAAATATCAAACAATTTTGTAAAAAAAATCAACATTAATAATAAATATATATATATATATTTAAATACTTGACAAATTTAAATATTTTGATCTATTTATTCTTATATATAAAGAAAGTTCTCTAATATTTTTACAAACAAAAAATAAATAAATGTATTTCTTACTATGTAACATTATTTATATCTTCTTTTTGTTGCTTTAAATGATCATGTAGATTGTTGATTATTCCTGTTAGCAATTTTATAGCACCTTTAGAAATTTTTGAAACTGGTAAATCTTCTTCATTGCCATTAGTCGTTATTGCGGCTGTTGTAGATGTTGTCGCTTGTGTTGTTGTTGTTGTTGTTGTTGTTGTTGTTGTTGTTGACGATTGAATTTCCTTTTCACTTTTATTGATTATTTTGTAGGCTTTTCCTATGACCTTTTTAAGAATACCACGTCTAATATAAAACTCTTCAAGATCTTCTTCTAAACCTTTTGGCGTATTTTTTAAAACTACACAACGCCAACATCCAAAAAGTTATAACATATAATATATAAATTAATAAATTAATTATATATATCTCTCTTTTCTTTTATCAATACAAAAAGCTTACCAAATGATATAGCCCTTAAACTTAACAGATACGCTCTCTCGTTATATAAAGCTGAAGATGCAATTGCTTCTTCTGATCCAACAAACTTATCAAATCCTGCCTCGTTATACCATGGCGATTGATTAAGTACTAATGCTTGTAATGAAATTAAAAGTTGTAACATTGACGATAACGGCGTCCACATTTCTGTTTCATCTTTTCCTGTCCATGTATTTAATAAACTTAAACAAACTATACGCAATATGTGTATGGTTGTGCGCGAGTTTGTGAGTTATATATGTGTATGTGTGTTTTAATCTATAAATTTCATGAATATATTGTTTATTGTTAATACCTTTGCCTTCTTCGTATAAATTTGGATTTATTCTTCCTATGCCACCAGTCCACGAATGAAAATGTGCAACAGGTGGTTCGTTAGGAAAATTATTTGGAAATGAAAAATCAAATAAAAATGGCGCATCTTCGTATCTATATACATAATGAATAAAATTTTAAACAATGAAATTTATCAAAATAATTGGGAAAATTATTATTTATAAGGATATCTCACGGTGTTTCTTGTGGTCCAAATATCAAAACTCGAAGAAGATCCAAACGATCAGAAAATGCTTTTACTAAAATGCCATCTACAGTAGCAGCAATAATAACACATATAATATTAATCGTTTTATGCGTACGTAAACTCCAAAATAATATATCTTTTATATGTATCTAACTTGCCTGGTAACGATTTACTTAGTATACGATGCTCTTTTAACACTCTTTGAATATAAAAACTTGATTGACTCTATATAATATTTTTTTCAGAAAAGAAAGATTATATCAATACTCGAATACATATATACACACATCCTCCTAAAATCTATACAATAAACGTACTTCAACCATCTTTCCAATGAAAATATGATCACTTGGTGCCTCATCTAACATAACAAAATTAGATCCTTTTCCATACATGTCACTGGAACATTCTGATTTCTCTTCCGTCATTGTTTTATCAATAATAGTACTATGTGTTGAAATTTCTTCATTTTTAGGGTTTACTACTAAAGTTTCTTTGGATTTAGTATCATCATCCATAGCTATTTCGTTAGTTCCAATCTTTGATATTGTAGTACCTTCTTCGTCCTTAATTGTTTTCAGTTTATCCTCCTGCCTCCTCCCATTCATTTTCTCTTCTAACTTCTTCTCTTCCATATCATCGTCTTCCATTTCATCATCAATAATTTCCTCCTCTTCCTCTATAGATTTATAATTCATCAATGGTGCAAATCGATTGCTATAATAATTGGAGTTAGCTTTAATTTCTTTTTCATCCTCGTCCTCATCCTCATCTTCAGTTGCAGTTCTCCATTCATCACTATCATTAGCTGTAGTAATATTTTTATTTTTACTGCTAACAGTATTAGTATATTCATTATTTAGACTTTCATTTGAATCATAATCGTCAAATGAAGATTCATAGTCGTCATCATCATTGTCTTCATCAATTTTATGTTCATCATAATCACTATCATCGTCATCGTCGTCATCATCATCATCTTCAAGTATAATGATTTCATCTAATGGCATCAATTTTTTAGCTCCACTTAGCAACATCACCATCACACCACCTTCTCGACGTCTTTCTATCACTTCTCCGACCCAATCTTGTGAAACTTCCAACGTCAAATTAAATACAAATTAAAAAAAAAAAGCAATATAAATGGGGGGTTCTTTTTTAAAAAAAAAGAAACCTAATTTATCTATTTTTATACCTTCATTATTAACATTTTCTGAAGTTCGGTGGAACAATACATCAGCCAATTCTTCAATCGTTTGATAAAACATTGAAGAAGGTGGTGCTTTTTTTAAATCAGAAATATTTGTTTTTGAATTTTTTGGCCTGATAAGAACCTTATCACCCAATTCATATTGTAACTCTGGGTGTGCAACTAATTCATATAAACTTAATTCATCTTCTGTTTCCTATTTATATATATATATTTAAAAAAAAAGAATCACTGAAAAAAATTTTACAAATTATATATTACACCCTATACCTCAAGTTCCATGTCAATATTATCACGAAACCATCTAATCTTTGCGGTTCTATCAATAGCATTAACAGATTGTACAATACCCAATCGTTCCTCACCTCCAGACTCTGTATTTTTCTTTAACACGTAATCTGACTTAATAAATTAATTAGATGTTATTTTTAAAAAAAAAATAGTATTAATATTAATTGACAAAGAATTCCATAAGAATATTTAAAATATATTTTAAAGATGATTACCGGATACATATCATGATCATCCACATTTAAATAAGGTATTAGTTCAATTGAAGAGATATCGCAAGAATGGCTCATATCTTGCCATTCAACGTCAACAGAAGTCGTAAGTTTCATGATTGTCTAATTCATTATCAAATATTATTGTTATAAATTAAATATATATTATATTGAGATGATCTTTTTTTTTTGGCACAAAAATTCACAAGTTGCAAAAAAATCATTTTATGCCAATAATATACTATATACTTATGACTATGACTATTATTATTATTATTCTTACAAAAACATCAAGATTAAACCCTGGATAATCGAATTTACCGGTAGTCTTGGTAGTTTTTGTGTTGACGGAATTAGTGTTAACAGTGTTTGTATTGATAAGTATGGAATTGGCAGCTTCGTCAACGGAATTAGTTGTGGAATTGATGGTGTAATTTGTGTCGGCAGCGCTTTCGCCTGGCACATTGTAATTTAAATTGTAAAATTTTGCATCTTCCGGGGTATTAAAAATCACTTTATCACCTAATTCAAATGTAGAATTTTCATAATAACGTTTGAATGGTATTAAATTCTTTAAATCTGTCAATTCTGTTGGTGGTAGACTAGCATGAAGAGTTTTTTCATTTCCGACCTGTGCAATAATGTGAAAAAATTTTAGATATATTTTTTGATATATGTTTGTGTGTATATATATATATATACATATATATACACATATTAATTGATTTCTTATACCATTGGGTTTTGCGAAATCCACCGTATTTTAACTTTGAATGGACTTGAATCTATTACAATTGCTTTTTGATGTTTTGAACTAAAGTTTCCTTTAAGGTATCGACCATTTTGAAAATCTCTTGGAGGTGCCCATACAACCTAATTTTACACATTAGTAAATTTAAAAATTACTCTTTTTTTTTTTTTTTTTTTTTGATAAAATAAAAATTAAAGCCTATTTAAATTCTTTTTTCTTCTAACCTCACCAACAGCAAATCTATCTATATGACTACTATTATTATTATTATTAATGGCCGATCGATCAATTCCCAATGCATTAACATCTTTTACCATACATATACTGCCATCATGAAATTGTACAGTAATTTGATCAAAAACCTTTTCATAATTAACATAAGATATTAATTAATAATTAGCAGTTATAATCAACACGTTATACTATAATTATAATATAATATGATATAATTTTTATTATTATGAGCTACCTCTTCAATTGTTCCAAGCCAATTATTATAAATTACGAATTCTCCTACAAAATCAAATATATATTTTTTTTAAATCCTTCAACATCAAAGTCTTTTTTTCTCCTCCTCAGCTACTCCCAAAAAACTCCACAATACCTTCTCTAAGTTTCCAACAATATGTTATATGTCTAGTGTCAACATTACGAATAATCTGATTTGAGATATTATGTCTAATGTCTACTTTAGCATTAACATTGGTGATTGTACCGGACATCATATCATTTGGTGACTTTTTAACAATATCTCCATATAATAAAGATGTATTTCCGAGTTAATTATAATATAGTAAATGTGTAAAATTTGTGCATAATTTATGATTGTACAAGTTAAATAAAGGATATCTATCAATGACTTTAATATGATCCTCATGAACTAATTGTGGGACATCAAAAGATTTGCTTCCAGTAAGCCAGGATACATATACATGGTTTCGCTTTATCTTTATTAAATATATAAATATATGTATTTAAATCATTAAAAAAAAAATCAATTTAAATTAATAAAAACAAAATTCTCATCAACGATCAATCAATTAAATTAAATTTAAACTATTAATAATTCAATAAAGGGTAAATCTGGTAGATACTAACAGGTGCTGCTTGAAGCATATCTTCGAAATTATGCCAAGTTTTTGTGATAATTCCAGTTTTTTCTTCATTTTTAATGGAGCAAACCGTGTCGTTTATAAATACTTTTGCTGTAAATGTTTTTGAATGCATTGCCATTATTACTACTGTTACTATTATTATTATTATTATTATTATTATTATTACTGCTACCACTTTACATGCAAATATTTCATCAAATAAATAATTAATTGATGAATTGAAAAAAGGTCACACTTTTGTAAAAGAAAGGAACATAATAAATCTTGATTAATGAAAATTATGAGGATCTGCTTTTTTATATGTTGTACGACAATTATTTTAAAATATTTTCAATTTCAAAAATAACATAAACCAGCCAACACAAAATGTCTTTAAGACATGAAAACGGAGCACAATATCCTGTTATTGATCTTGACCCACATTTTACACGTGTAGTAAGATACTTTCGACCTTCAGATTATCTTGCATGGGGAGCTGCCACAGCTTTTGGACCTGCATTTATGATAATGATGGGTAGGCATACATAATATTCATCATGCAAAATAATAAACCAAAGTGAAACATTAAAAGAGAACTCAAGAGAACTTATAATTTTTATGAGTTTAGAAAAAACGAATCCTCAATTTCCGTCGAAAGGGCTTAACATTGGACTTAGATATGCAGCTGGATTTGGAGCAATGGCAGGATTTTTATTAGCTTACCAACGAAGTAGTTGTATGTATTTATAGCATAATTTATTTTCAAAGAGGGAGGAAGTAACGTTCATTAATTATTATGCATCGTTTGTAGTTAGATTTTGGGGATGGGAAGAAAATTCAAAAGAGTTTGAAAGAGATAAACAGGAAATGACAAAACGATTAAGGGAAGGAAAGGCTTTGTATGGTAATTCTGAATTAAGTCAATATAATCAAAAGGCAGCTGCATGGAATTCAAGATATGCTGCTTTAAAATTTGGTAAATTACATAAGTTATTTATTATTACATAAAATTTATGGAGTTTAAGGCAGATCAATCAATTCATATCTCTCTCTCTTTCTCTTTCTCCTTTCCATGAAAATAAAGCCGCAATTCCATGGTTTAATTTTGCCAATCATAATTACCACGATGTTGATGTTTCAAGATATGTTGAGGAGAAGGAGGAAGAAGAAGAAGGAGAAAGAATCGAGTAATGATTATATGATAGTAATAGCGATGATAATAAAATCCTTTTATATATTTTTTTTTATTTAATTAATTATTTTTTAATAATATTATAATTATCAAATTTCACCTTGAGGCCACCATCCAGTAACAATATATGGTAAATCTTCACCATTTGCAAACTTTTTTAATGTATTATCATCATCATCGTCATCATCATCATCATCATCATCATCATCACCATCATCACCGTCACCTTTATTACTTAATACTCTACATCCTTCTATTGTATACAATGTAACCTTCCTTAAGTTTTTATTGTTTATTATTAATCTTCTCAAAATTTCTACCGGTAAAGGTGTAGTCTGATATAAAATCTTTATCGTTAATTCTTCCAATGTTTCAATATGATCGGCTATTAATGAAAGTATTGGTTCTGATGGCACACGGGTCAAATCAATTAAGATCTTAGATAATGGTGAACAAATAGTTTCAGGATTTAGTTCGTTAAACACTTCGAAAGGTTCTGGCAAATTTGATTCTTGATAATATTGGAACTCTATTTCAGTTAGGTTTTTACAAGTGGTTAGAAAATACGAGAATAATGATTTTGGTAGTCTAAATTCGTTGTTGTTGGATGATGATATAAAAATTCTATAAATAAATGAATTATAATCAATATAAAGTTGTTTATTGTTGTTGTTATTGTTATTGTTGTTATTGTGGGCAGTGATATTATCTGCGGCAGCGGAGGAGAAAGAATAGCCTAGCAATGTTCTGGAAATGAGACTCCATCGTTTCTCCACATCGTCTATTCCCTCCCACGTATTTTCACCTAAATTTTTCCACAACAATGGTGCACATACTTTAAAAAAAGTCGAGTTGATATATAAAAAGGTTCTTATGGTTTTCCATTCAAAAATTTCAAAAATTTCATTTAAAATTTCAACTGGCAAACCATTTATTATTGGCATTATGAGTATTATTATTATTATGGTTGTATAAAAGAAGGAAATTTAATAATAATATAATTAATTGGGTGTGTAATAGTAATCTTTGGTTCGTTTGGTCATGTGCGTTATAAATAGTATAGTAGCACCGTGCAACTTTATTGATGATTGAAAATTCTATTTGTTGAATAAAATTTTGTTTGATTGAACGCGGTACCATTGTTATTTGTCATTATTACTGATACTATTAATCCATCTAATCATTTCCAAAATGACTATTATAATACAGCAAGTGTGAATTGTAGTTTTTTTCGCCACACAATAATAATGCAACGAACGAAATTGATGATAAGACTGATAAAGAATGGTCGAATTGATTCAACAAGAAAGATACATATAGCAAAATTTTAATCAGACAGCGTTTGCTGCGACGAAATTTAATTTACTATAATAATGAGTAAATAAGATAAATATATTATTATTTCACGTGATAAACGTTGGCAAATTCATGCGTCATTATTAAAACAAACGTCGTGTTCTTATTATTGAAAAATTTGGATCCAATTTAAGAAAATATGGATCACAAATTTTTTATTCAGAGTACAAAAAATTTAAAATGTCAAAGAATATTTACAAAAAAATAATGATTCTTACTAAAAAATTTCAACACATAAAAAGAACGCAACAACAATGACAAACATATTAGTTTGGAAGAAATTGAGAGCTAAAAGAGATAGCTATCAGGCAAATAAGGAACTCGTGATATCCCAATTTCTTTATATCGATTCTCTTTTCATCTTTAGTTTAGTTGTATGCTATTTTTTGGTATGTTTATATGCTGAAGAAATGCATCAAGCCGACGCATAAATCTCTTGGCTATTTTGCTAGAGATTTTGACTTGCATGATTCCGTTTATTGAGATTACTAGACTTATTTAATTCGAACTACATGATGCTATTATAAGACAAGATGAACAATCCTGGCCCCAAAGATGATTATGACAGCCAATATAATCTTTTATAGAATTTTCGACGTGAGTCTTTCTTTTGCCATTGATGCTTCAAGAGCCAATATTTTTAAATATATTGGATATAGTCATATTATAAATGAGGGTTTGAAGCAACAGTGTTATATTTGAATTACTGTTCACAGTCTACCCTTGTTTCAACGAATACATAGGACGAGTTGAATTCGTTGCGACAAAAAAATCGTTGAAACAAAAATGGCAATGATCGTCAGAAAAAAAAATTATATAATATATTGTAATTTTTGTTTCTATATCACATTGTTGAAGAAAATCTCAAAGGCATTTACTGAATTTTTCATTGAAACCTTGGGTGCGGTCGTGTTACTTTTAATGACAATTTGCTCTCCAATTGGCTTGAAAAAACAATAATTTCTTCAATTATTATTTCGTTATTTATTTCTTCGTTATCAATTCTTTTGCTTATAATGGAGAGTTAAATGATAATTAATTGATTAAATTTTCAAAAACAATTCTTTCTTGATGATATTCTTCAATTACATTATTAAATAATTATCGGACAACAGGCTGTGAATCATAATTTTTAAAATATTTATTATTAATATAAAATAAAATATTTTTTAGGCTTAAGTCTTTGAAATTATAAATTATTCTTGCGTCACATGGTTGCAGGCGTATGGTGAGCGGTAAATGATGAATTTTTATAAAATTGTGTATATGTGCATTGTCAACAAGTAATAATATTTTTCTCTTCATTTTTTTTTTATTTAATCATTCCAGATTGACATTTGCGGTTAATATTTTTTTTTTTTTTGATGCTCTTGGGTTTTAATATTTATGAATAAATAAAGGAATCAATTGATCTGTTCCAGTAGCGTCGCATGTTAACAATATAATTATCTTTTATTTTGTTTTGTACCGCGAGATGGTTCCATTTTCCAGAGAAGACCAGTTTCGTTGCAATTAAAAATTGAAGATTTTGCAATGTGTTTCTCATTTCTGGAGTTTCATCACGTTTAAAGATGTTCACGAATTTGAATTTCTTTGTTTAAATTGTGTATAACCAACCAGAAGATCCTTTAAACTCTTTATCTAATAGCTCAGCAAAATTTGTAGCCTTTTTTTTTTTTTTTGAATAATAAGAATCTGTGATTGTTAAATTACATTAAGAGTCTTTTCAATCCATGAAACAATGCTTCTTCAATATCAACAAATGGCAAGGTATGTGATATTTTCAGTTTTGCTTGAAACGAATTTAAATCTATTTATTATATTAATCATCATCTTTCAGATATCACTAACCTGACCTGCGGTAATATTAAATTGATTTGCTAAATCTATATTTTTTGGTTGGGTTATTTTTCTTTTCAATAAACAAATTTCTCTTTTTTGGTCAGCAGTAATATAAGCTCGTTTTTTTTTTGGGGGTGACATGTTTGTAATAAGATTTGTAAAATATTTTTTAATATTTTAGTACCTTTTTAAAATGATCAAATCAAAGCCATTTAAATGACAAGAGTTTAATTACATCATCATTAAAAATCACAAGTTATATATTAACATACGTTTTAGGTTAAAATCATAATTACGTGATTTATCGTATGTTAATCACATGTTTAATAATTTAAAAAATTTAAAAAATTTAAATAGACTTGTCGATCATTGTCACAAGACCAAAATTCGTTAAAACAAGAGTTGACTGACTGTATGTAGTAGCCAAGTGTTATTGAATCCACTTTTGCAGAGAAAACAATTAATTGGCATTGAGGATAGTTGTTTAAGCTTCATTGGACTGCTTTTTTTAGAGCAAGAATTTAATAATACCTTTGAATGAAATTAATTGTCTTGGACCAGATAAGCATTAGGCATAAAAATTTTATTTTTTTGATTAAAAAAAAATTTTTTTTAATTAACTAATTATGACCGTTAAGCGCTGTTGGCAAGCCATAACACAATGTCCCGCATAAGAGGCGAAGATAAACATTTGATTTCGTTGTTTGGGGGCTAAAAAGAATTCTAATTTTGAATTTTGTATTATTTTTAGATTTCTACCTTGTTTATTCAGGTTAATGTTAAATTAATATGTGACAACTACTATTTTGACGGAAGTGATGATGATGATTGATACTTTGTTGTTGTTGTAAAACAACAAATGCTTGCTGAATTGCGTCGATAATTTGATTAGCTTTATTACTTGCGAGTCAGATAAAATTAATTTTAATAATAAGAATATTATGATTATTAATGTATTATGCCTTTTTTCTTTAAAGTTATATTATTGTATAAATTTATAGTGCTGCGTTATATCGTGAAAAACCTCATCGTAGATCTTTTAAATAATTAATATAAAAAACATATTATTTGACAAACCTGATGTAAATGCTGTGCATCATATCCATATTGTGTGGAAAAGACAAATACCATTTTTATTTGATTATCATTGATTTACTTTATTTGTTTATTTGTTAATTTAAATTTTCCAAATTGCAATATTTTTTCCATTTTGTGATTTCCGAACTTGAATGAAAATGCTTTTTTTGTATTTGTATTATTTTCTATAATAATAATGTGTGCTTGATGGATGATTCTTTCTTAGTCATACATAGAATAATGTCAGCAGCGGGCGATAAAAATTTTTGATCATCAATACGCCATTTTATTTATTTGAGAAATAAAAAAATAATTTAAAGTGTGATACATTCATTCACTCATTACAAAAAAAAAAAATTATTTATATAAAGAGCATTTTCCTTTACAAAAAAAAAAAACATCGAAAAAATGTTGTCGTTTAAAATATATTCTTGTTAAAAGCTCGATATATAAAATAAAATCAATTTTTCTTTTTTTTTTTTAATAAAGCAATTCCTTTAAACAAAATTTTTTTTGAACTTTCAAAAATTTAAATTTTGATTTTCATCATTTATCATATATAACATTACATTATTATTATTATTATTATTACATTACATTGCAAAAAAAAAACATTCGTTTATTATTATAATCTGCCTGCTTATTCAATAAAAAAAAAAAAAAAAAGATTATATATAACTTACTTCCATCCCCCTTCATTCTCGTACCAATACACCCATCTCCTTAATCAAACATGAAAAATTTTCCTAATAATTGTAAGTAAATTTAATTAGTCTAGATTTGAGGTTGTTATTTATTTATTAAATGGAAACTGGTACTAATTTTCTTTTTTTGGTAATTAAATTTCAAGTTGAAACAGGGATCAACATAAAAAAAAATGAAGAATTCATGATGACTCACCAAAAACAAAATAGGAATAATTTTGTCACATCAAACACTAACAATTATACAATCACTAACAATAATAATATTACCAATAGCGGATTAATTAATAGGGACAAAGATATTTTCGTAGAAAGCCTTGTCGGTAAAGAATTGATTAATTTATTATTATAATTAAATATTAATGGTCAATTTTTTAATTTTTAATTTTTTAGTTTATCCGTTTGATTTTTTCTAATTTATTTATATATATATATTATATATATATATAGATACAACAGCAACTATAATTGAAACAATTTGGTGTAATTTTCCCGTAGTTACTACTGCACAGATAATTCCATTACGTTTATTTATTAAAGAAACATTGAAAAGGTCAAGAACTTTTTTATCAACATTGAAAATTGCTCAACTTTACTTACTTAGAATACAATCAAAAATTAACTCACTTCACTCCTCTATCACCACTACCACCACCACCCCCACATTCAATAACAATAACTGCAACAACAACAATATTTATGGCCCATCGTCGTCTTCATTATCAGATAACAAAAATATCGACCCGGCAACTTGTGGTCGCCGGATGTTTTTAGCATCGTTGATAATCGCATCTAAATATTTGCAAGATAAAAATTATTCAAATACCGCTTGGTCTAAAATTTGTGGTTTGCAGGTCGAAGAAATTAACATGGTTGA